CTCGCCATGCAACTACCCCCACAAGCTGAATCAAGATTCATCTTTGATGCCTCATCTAGACCATCAACAAAAGTGTCACCCAATACCTCATCAGANCAATACCTCATCAGTCTGACAATGATGCGGGCAGTCTCTGAGTAGCTTCTTGTATCTTTCCCAAGCTTGACGAAGTGTCTCGCCATCTCGTTGTTAGAACCCAAGAATTTGGCTCCTCAGCAACTTTGTCTTCTTAGTGGGGAAAAACTTGATTAAGAATTTCCTTGCTAGATCATCCCAAGTGTGGATTGAGTTCGCGGGCTCCTTTTGCAACCATTCCTTAGCTTCCTCCAACAGTGAAAAGGGAAATAGTGTCAGCCTCACATAGTCCTTGGAAATGTTCGGATAAATATAGGTGTCCGTAATTTTCGGGAAATTCTGAATGTGCCTCTGCGGGTCTTCATGAGATAGACCCACATATTGCCCTGTGGACTGAATCAGATGTACCATGTATTGTTTGAGTTCAAAATGCCCTGTGATATCAGGCTTCACAATAGCCTGAGTCATATTAGCAAGATTGGGCCTTGCGGCTTCTATCACCGCACGCTCTTCATTACCTGCCATCTCTGTTGGTTGTGGTTGAACTACGATGTCTAACTCTCCTTCTATTCTAGTTCTTTCTTCGACTTTCCTCCTCACTCTGTGAAGTGTTCGTTCAATTTCAGGATCAAGAGGAAGGAGATTGTTTGTGCTTCTACTCCTCTGCATTCAAGAGAAGAGCCTGCGTTAACACAAATAAGGTAAACTGAAAATTAGAGCTTGAACAAATAACTAATAAAAAGCTTAACTCAGTCAAGTAGCTAATTTCTAAGTCCCCGGCAATGGCGACAAAAATTTATTACGGACAAATGCACACGCAAGTATACGTGGTCGTCAAGTAATAGAGTAGTGAGTAGAGTATCGTTCCCACGAAGACTTATGATTCACTTTTGACTAATTCAAACTTAAATAGCTTATCGATTCAAGCGATTTCTTACAAAATAGATAATTTTCTAATTTACTACCTAAAAACTATCAAGTAATGAAATACTAGAAATTAACCACAACACTTAAATAGTTTTGAATAACAATCAATAGGAGATAATATTCCAGGGTCACGGGTTATCTAACAATCATGTTGCATTCTTAGCTTAAAATAACTAATTGATTTATCTGGATTGTTGATTGACAGGGTTGATATTACTCATAAGAATCTGTCGAGTCCTTACTCGCCTATTTAAGCTAACTTAATACCTATATGTCTATGGAATTAAGATTAACAAGAACGCATTTACAATTCCTGTATTGCAACCGAGCAAGGCAATTAGGTATATGTCTATCCTAATTGCGAATTCGTTCCCCGATGCCCGGGTTTAAGAACTTGCTCTATTTAATTCTATATGCAATCTAGAATTCCCACTTTGGAGTTCAACTCTAGATTCATTGATAGTATTTCACTGTTAGCTACTCAGCAAAATAATTAAAAACAGAATTAAATAAACAACCCAATATGATAAAATCAACTTCGTCAAATTAAACTTCAAACGTCAACATTCATGTATACCCATGACCCTAGAACAATAGGGTTCTTAGCCACTCATGTTCATACAATCATCAAAATAATGATTTCAAACATAAAATCAATGAGTACTAGGGAAGGGATGGAATAATTGATCAAATGCTTGCTCCCGAGTGTTTGGCGCCTCCCCTCTTCTCTCAAAGTTGCGTCTTCTCCCGGTATGTTCTCTCCTCTCCCCGATGGTATTTTTAGGTCTATTTATATGTGTAGGAAAAGACCTAAACGTGTAGGACAAGTCCTAGTCAAACCCGAAAACGAATTAAGTCTTCAAAAGTCGGATTGGACCTGGCCCCAAGCCTGGCATCGCCAGCCTCAGCCTGGCTTTTGCTTGGCGTCACCAGCCTAACGCCAGCCTCAGCCTGGCGTCGCCAACCTAACGCTAGCCTAAGCCTGGCTTTAGCCTTGCAAAGCCAGCCTAAAGCCAGCTTCAAGCCTGGCGTCGCCAGGTTCTCTCATTCACTGCTCCTGCGCACGCTTTCGACTTGTAGGTCTCCTTTTTCTTCTACTTTCATCTCCAATTCACCTACACATAAAATAGACTCAATTAAGCACAAATATAGTATAGTTTAGTATTAAAGCCCCAAAATGTAAGGTAAGTAATGCACTAAAAATATGTAATTATAATCAAACATCAATCACTTTATAAAATTAATTTAAATTAATTTTGTATGCATACACATAAGGATTTTGTCTATATCTCGACTAAATTTTGTCTTAGTTATTTCGTAAACTCATGATTTCTTCTCCGCGAGAACGAATTTCACTAGTATAATAATAATGAAAACCATTAGGCAAAAGGCATTAAAGTAAAGTTAAAATCTTCGTCTTGAAAATCTTCAAGGGGATCTTTGAGTCACCACCACTAAATAACAGTCGGTGTTTTTGGTGTTCCGCCAGTAAAAGTGGGTGATTTTTGTATAAGACTGACTGCTCGGACAGATACTTCTACCATATAAAATATTGGAGATGAACTCCAACGTTTTGTTTCACCCTAACAATAAAGCAAGATCAAACAATATTATATATGCTCTGTTTCTCTGAAGAACTAGCTAGGCGAATAAGAAAAATGAAAGAAAGAGAAGAAAAAAATGCAATCTAAGCCTTTAAAATTAGATAGACATAATCGAGGACTATATGTTTGAAAATTAAAAATAGGCCAAATAATGGAGGTGTCCGGACCCATTCTTTAGTGCAGGTTAAAATTTTCTTTTTCATTGAATTTGCAATCCCTGCCGTGTTCATGAGAGCACAAGCCGTAGCACTAGATAATTTTTGTAGTGATCTTAAACATGCGGAACATTCAGAAGTTTTGCTCTTTCTGGTTCTATATGGTATATTTCGTCTCTTGATAAAGTTCTTTCATTTTATGAAACTTTATATTTTGTTTGCTTTTGCACTTCTTAATTATTATTATTTTTGTTTTTTTTTTTTAAATCTCATTTTACATACTCCGCTCTTAATAATAAAAATAATTTTAAGATGTCTAACAATATAAAATATGTAACGAACATATGGAGAAAGTTAGATATTGGCCAAAGACAATGTTGCATTAATATATTTGTAACTAAAATTAAACTTTTCCCTCCTACTTCATTAAGGAGACACATTTTGTAACGTAAAAAGTTACTTTATAAGCTAAGGTTAGATGAATTTGTATAATTAAAAGCCGCATTTATTCAAGGTTAGCCAATAGATAAAGAAGAGAATTAAATCAACATCCTAATTAATGCAATTAATTATGGAATAGAGAAACTATATAAAGAAAAACTCTTGATCAAATCTAAGAAAGAACCCAAAAAAGCTCAAATAAATGGCGCGTCTCTTTGGTACCGTATGCATTTTCGTAATAGTATTCACATTCATTACTCAAATATCTTTGGCTGAAGATGATATTGAAAAGGCTCTTCGGTTGGCCAATGATATAGCTCATAAGCAATTATTTCCGGACGATTACGTAGAGTGTGCCATTAACTTATTGTATCAAGTTTCTGTGTATGTTGAAGCAGCTATTAAAAACTATCATAAAGGCCAGTTAAAAGAACTCATCAATCAGATGAATAACGCCATATACCAGATCGATAGTTGTGCAGATTATATGATTGATACGCCATTCATGTTTGGGGGTCCAGAAGATATTGCCCAACTTGAACAACTTCTCAAGAAAATTAAGAAAGAAGCTTTCTCAAAATTAAGAAGCCAGAGATTGGGACCGGCCTTCAGCCCAGCCTAGCTAGCTCAATCATTTAGTATTGATGTATTTTAATCTTAATTAATTGCTCCGCATATTTAATTAGTCTTTTGAGCTAGCTATTCATAACCATATGATAATGTGGATTTTCTCATAGTCTTAAATGTTACGTAAACCACTTGTTTATTATATTTACTGAAACTTAACTCTATTAGTATGTGTTAACCCATGGAATAATGCATTTGCAAATTAGATCTTCATTTACTTTTTTGTACGTTCTCTCTCCGTAGCACAGCTACACTTTGTTCTCTACCATACCATTCGACTTATTTTCAAATGCTTTTCCCGGACTAATCGGGAGTAGGACAAAGAAAACTAGCAAAATTAAAAATACGAAAAAAAAAAAAAAACCAATAACATTGTTTACCCGAAAAAAAGGATAGAGTTGAATTTGTACGTAGTTCTAAGGATATGTGATATAGCCTGATACAAATCGTAGAGATAAATAGAAATATCAAATATTGATTGCAAAAGAATGCAAAAATAAATAAGGTCGGAGAGAAGATAATTTTTAGGACTAAGCACAATGAATCAACTAATGAAGCTTAGAAGAATAATCCTTCGATATAGGAGAATATGATGCTTGAATTACAATGTAAGTAAAAAACTCCTTCCACAGAAATATATCCATCCTCTTTATAGTAGAGGATCCTACTTTAGATATAATAAAAAAATACATAGCGGAGAACCCATGATAAATCAGCTTTTTCCTAATTTCCGCCGAGATTCTCATCCTTAGTGTGTTTGCAACGGCTCTTGTCTGTGGCCTCGAAGCCGGTCGGTATTGCTTCTAAAGCTCGATGTGAACTCGAAACCAGGTGATGATTTGGGCTCGATCGGCCTCGATGCTGGTCGGTATTGCTTCTAGAGCTCGAAATCATCTCATCATAGTTCGATTCGGACTCGAGCTTCAATAAGGACTTCGAAATCGGTGATTGACCTGTACCTGAAGCTCGTTCATACCATCTTCGGAACCCATCTTGATATTACGAAGTTTTTATTTGATCCATTATGTTTTGATCTCGATCAATCGTACGAATGGCGATCCTATACAAACATATTGATACTTGTACCCTACCTATGCGTGTTGTAACTAAAACATGGGTCAAAACCAAGTACTCAATATTCAACTGGCAGCCTAAGTTGAAAATTAAACAATTGCTTTATTAGGAAAACCAAGACCGCCTCTGTTTTTCTTCCAAATAACTGGTTTTCTATTCTCCATTATCAAACCAAGATGTACGTACAGAAATTGATTATTTAAATCTTTTTTTATTCCTAAGAGAGAATCATTTGAATAATCCATCAATTATTTTCCAAGAAACCTTATACTGTAGTGCTTTTCATCCATTCCAGTGTCCAGATAGCAGTTTTTTCTTTGCCCACTGTCTTCAAAACCATCACTCTGACGGTAAGCAACTACGTACTATACTACTCTAGTACAGTATATATATAAACTTCCATGATACCCTTCATCACAATTCACAACAATCTTCAAACCCATAACTTTAAATTAATTTTGCTGCTAAAATCACCAAAAAGAAAATTCCTTTTTTTTAAATCTGAAAAAGAATTCAGAAATGGAGAGTAACAATTCAGTTCCAGCGAGCTCACCGTGTGGAATTGGAACACTGGGGCGGCACTTGGCTCGGCGGTTAGTACAAATCGGCGTGAAGGACGTGTTTTCAGTTCCCGGTGACTTCAACTTGACGTTGTTGGATCATCTCATAGCCGAGCCGGAGCTGAATTTGATCGGCTGCTGTAACGAGCTTAATGCTGGGTACGCTGCGGACGGGTACGCACGTGCGAAAGGGGTGGGAGCGTGTGTGGTGACGTTCACTGTAGGGGGACTGAGTGTGCTAAATGCTATTGCTGGGGCCTACAGTGAAAATTTGCCTCTCATTTGTATCGTTGGTGGGCCTAATTCCAATGACTATGGGACCAACAGGATTTTGCATCATACTATTGGAGTGCCAGATTTTAGTCAGGAACTTAGATGTTTTCAAACTGTTACTTGCACTCAGGTATGTTCATATATTCCCTGCATATATGT